ATGGCTTATCGGACGTTTCAAAAATCTGCGGTATTCCGATTTCACTTGCTACCATTGGCCATTGTTTTCTGCCGTGCTCAACTTTACAATCGCAAAACATTTCCAACGCGAGAGTCAGTTTGGGAATGTGGAGATGTGCCCAGCTCCGTCATAGTCACTTTGGCCCAGACAGATTCTAGACAAGACACTTTCGATGCGCATCTCGCATCAGCACGGAGCTTGACCCACTATCAGTTACGACGCTCTCATAATACTTGTCGCCTCTTCATAGTGTGTGGACGAAGAAGTAAAATCTTCGTTTGTTGTTCTTGTTAAGGTAAAACTGTGGCATACATCCGCTAAGGTCAGACTGGTGTCAAGCATGCAAAGAACTTCAATGACGTTCTTACAGCGGTCCTGTATCGATTTTACTGCAGGAAGCTGTAAGCATAACGATATTTCCTGATTTTGTTTAAATGCGTTTTTCGCGACGTCGATGGTAAACACGGATCTAAGATTAAGAAACTTGCGTTATATTTCTTACTCGTAAGTCTTTATGTTGCTGACGTTCACCGGGGAACATTGTGAAAGAGGGCAATTCGATAAATTCAGACCGAGACCAAACCGGCTTTTGCTATTACGATAAATGTCTTCTGCAGTGCTTCCAGATGTTAAAACGACTAATATATTGTCAGCAAGGTCAAGAACCGGCAGCTGGTATCCATATCGATAGACCATCACCAGGCTGACAAGGTCTGCAACCGCCTTTATCATCAACGCGTCACAACTTATCCAAAGAATAGTTATTGAAAAGCCGTATCACCCAAAATCACCTGCAGGTATCAGGTGCGGTGGAAGCCAGCAAAAGTCAATAAAATGTACTGAATCAGAGGCGAAACCATACGACCTTGGCGACAGGACCGAAGAAATCAAGGATCACAGACTACTGAAAGAGTTGATATGCTATTTCATACGGATTGACAATCAACATTATTCACGGCTATTTCAAAATTCAGGTATCGTTTAGTTTTTCATTCATTCATCTTCCATGGTCGCTTCTCCATTGCAGAGGCAGAGGCGTCATAAAATGCTTTCAACCCAATCCTGTGCCAGAATCTGAGCTTCGGCAAAAGACAAACGGAGTCTAGAACAGACCCCTTTCATATATCTGCATCAGTTTAATCTTCGCCATCCCCTGGGCTTTCTGCCGATCGGATTTGCAAGGAACAGTTGCTTAGCCTTCCTTTCTGAAGACATTCGCAACACAAGCCCAAGCCATCGCAGCTGTGACTTCCCAATCTGGAGAAGCAAAGGCACCAAGACTTCCGGATGTCACTATTCCAGATCAAGTCGAGGCGCGTAAGAGCAGCGACTCCTCTAAGAAAGCCCATTTTAGCAGCTTGTACCCGGATTCGAAGTTTTTCAGTGATGGTCCACGATTCATGACCGTAGGTAAGTATGGGGATCAAAATCGACTTGAATACTGAGAGCTTAGTTTTCAGACTGAGCTCTGCTTTAGTCACAATGGGTCGGGCTAATTCACGCAGAGCGCCACTGGCTACTCCAATTCGCCGGTCGATCTCTTCCTCCAATTTTTCATCACTAGTAAATACAATTCCGAGGTACTTGAACTTCTTCACCTGCTCCAATGCCTAACAATTAATCTGAAGATAGCAACGGGCAGGAGAACGAGAAAGACCAGGCTTTTCATTTCAGATGCGTTCACACGCATGCCGGTCACGTCGCACTCGGCTGCGAACTTTTCAAAGGAGTACTGAAGATCACTTTCAGAAGATGTTAATAAAACAAGGTCGTCTGCAAACAGCAACCTTCTCGTCTTCATATCTCCTAAACCGATATAATCATCGCCTTGGCTGCTCTTAACTACTCTGTCTATATACAACAGAAACAAGAGAAGGGGCAGGATGTAGCCTTGGCGGAGACCGTCAAGTTTTAAATGGTGAAAAAACTAGAGTTAAGCAGTGTTTACTTTACATGGTGTAATACATGAATCTGGGCGACTAAACATGACCGATTTTCTGTCTATCGTATGCACTGGTTAAAACGAAGTTTTATGA